AGCATTAGCTAATGCACACCAGAGCTATCCACTAAGGAAAATATTACCAGACCCAGAGTGAGCTCAGCTCTTGTTAACTTACACAACTGTGTTGTCTTGCTAACAATAATAAACTTACCAAGAAAGACAATTTTTGCTGGCAGTCTCTGCGTCTGTCCTCACCTGCTTGTACTTGCCAGGCACGCCTCTTTAGCTCTTTTCACATTTAACGTTAACTTCTGTAGGGAGCTGACCGGATATTCTTCTCTTCTGTGTTGTTTTCTTATTAAGTCTGTGGTCCACCTTCCAAGTCCGAGTTTGTAAAGTAAAACAAAGGAAACCTGATAAACAAAATGATTTCTGGCCAAAAACAGCTTCCCTCTCAACGACCGTACACACGTTAACTTTCGTGAAGCGGACTTTCACGCTGTGTGATTGGGTCGTCGATTTAAAAACCTTGATTCTGATTGGTCCAACTGAATGCACTGCGCTAGTAAGCTGGGCGGGAGGACACACTTCGCCCCTGTGTACACGTGTTTACCGTTTACACACAGAAACAAGTATATTTACAATATGATTTAAAGTATACTTATTTCTATATGTTGTTGTTTGTTAAGTTGACAACATGTGCTGCTTCCTTCTTGGCCAGGTTACCCTTATGAAAGAGGTCTCTGATCTCAACTAGCTATTTACTTGATTAAAAAAAATTAAAAGAAATGACAACAAAATCACAGGTGTTGGGCTGCGGTATCCCTGCTCACAAATCAAGGTTACAAGCCTGGAGGAAAAAATAGTTAAAGCAGATGATTGTGTGAAGTGAAGAAAGACTTGTTGCTAGATCCTTGAGGGTGAATCTTAGTTCTTTCAGAGACCTCTTAGCAAAAGTGGAAGCTTTGCATTTGTGTTTCCAGTTTACACTGGCCGGTTTGTTCTCAAATAGATTTTCAAATTAAAAGCATTCTGTGGCAGGCACTTAGCTATATTACTGAACTGTAAGTCCACACGAGCCTTCACATAGTTCCTCAAGCAGTGGGCCTGTAGCTTTGCAAGACTCACTGCTAAAGACCAGAGGTGAGCGAGCCTTTTCTGTCAGGGCCCAAACACCGGAACAGCATTTTACCTCGCTGTTTCTTACTTAAACCTGTCTTGTTTTATTTTACATTCTGGTTTAATTCTTATATGTATATATATTATCTCCTGGTGTCTTTGTTGAGACCACCCTGCCACCCAAAGGAGGCTGGACTTATTGGCACTCTTCTGTTTTGATTTATGAATGGTTTTCATAGCTGTTTGTTGTCCTGTCTTCTGCCAGGTGTTTATTGATCCCATCCACGGCCACGCAGAGTTGCACCCACTCATCAAAATCATCGACACACCTCAGTTCCAGAGACTAGAAAATGAAGCGGAAGGATGTAGGTCAAAGGCTGGGATATATAAAAGCCAGGACCGTGTTAATGGTCGAACAGCAGATGTGGAATGACCTTCCTTCACTCCATTCAACTGATGCTCTCGTTAACTGGAAGAGCTTTTGTGTTCAAATGGACTCACTGCAAGGAATCCTTGAGAGCAGTAACCAATAAAAAAGGTTAATAGCATCTGAAACAAAAGGAGGTTGTATTTCCAAATGTTAGATAAAGTCTTAGTCTTATTTATCTGTACATAATTATTTGTTTGTGATGTTTTGTGGTGTTTTGCATTGTATATCTTGTATGGAATGAGTTGTTTTGTTGTGTGCTGGCACAGGGTGGGTTACCTGGCAGGACGACTTGTACAGTCTCTGAATGAGAAGCAGCCAGAACTCCTCGCAGAGACATCCTTTGTGTGCAGATCGCCGGGCTCTGCCATGACCTTGGTGAGTGGTACACAGGTCCTTACATGTTTCAAGTTTTACCTTCTTTGCCACTGGGTGTGGGCATGAGTGAGAATATAAGCAAAACTGGGTTTATTATCCTCACAAATAGCTTAGTGCGAAGTTCACACACAACACATCACTATGTTTTTTTATGTACCCCTGTCCAGGACATGGGACATTTTCCCCATATGTTTGATGGGATGTTCATCCCCAAAGCACATCCGGCCATTTCCTGGAAAGTAAGAAACTATGTGATTTATATTTCTCTTGTCCTTTTGCTTTCTGCCATAAGTGTCAAACTAAGAGTGAACCAAAATACCTTTTGCAGATTACTTCTTGTACTAGCATTAGTTTCTTTCCTCTGTGTTAGCAGTGCAGAGGCAGACTATCCAAATCCATTAAAGTTCCTCTGACTAACAAAAGCACTGTTGTGCTGAGGTTTCAAACTGCTGTTATGATTCATCGCAAAAACGAGCTGGCAATCAAGAATATGCAACTAAACACCCTTTGATTCACCGCTACAAATTACTTAGCCAAGACGTGCACATCAACTGATCTGAAAGAGTGTAATTGTTTAAAAGGGCATCTCAGTTTAGTTTGTTTGGCCACACGTCAGGAACAACCGGAAAAGTCAAACTAACCAAAAATAACCGCATACAATTTTTACAAAAGTAACTGGAAATTCTCTCTTGGTCACCCACTGTGCAGATTGTTCGAGCTTGAGTGCTTTTATCTACTATATAATGTAGTCGACTGAAACCTAAATTAAAATCATCTGGAGTCCAGCAGATATTAACCCGTTAGAAGGCTGGAAAGATCTCCCTGTCAGACACAAATCCTCTCATCACATTATTCTCAAATAGGTGATGTAGTCTTCAAAATACCCACCAACTAAACTCCCTCCTTGACACAGTTTGCCCTCTTTTCATTCTTCTTTTAAATGTGTTAACTGATATATAGTTATAAAATTCTTGGTACCAGATGGCTTGAAGTGACAGCAAAGAGTAGCATCCTGTTTTACAGAGGCTTTTTGCAGGCAGTTAGAACCTAGGCTGCTGTACAACACACTTAATGTCACTTGACTTGTAAGCATGAAAGTTTAGGGAACTGTTCAGAATGAAGTATAATAATAATAATAATCTTTATTTGTAGAGCACTTTTCAAAAACAAGTTAAAAGTGCTTTAACAAGTGGAAAGACAATAATACCCAAAAGACAATAAAACAAAAACAATAAAAGATAAAAGCATGAAAACATTGAAAAGACTAAAATACATGTTTAAGATAAAATATAAAATTAGTAAAATAGAATAAAATAAAAGGGATAAAATAAAGTCAAATAAGATCGGGAAAGGCTCTCCTATAAAAGTATGTTTTAAGAAGGAGTCGATCAATAGATTTTTGGGTTAAACAGGTGAAAAGGCTGTTGCAATTATCCAAGCGTGATGAGATGAAGGCGTGTTAAATGGTCTCGGTGTCCTTAAAAGTTAACATAGATTGAAGGTTCTTTGCAACAGGCTTAATATGATTTACTAGGGAACCAGCAGATGGCAGTATTTGTTTTGCCATCTGCTGGGACCCGATGACCAGGATTTCTTTTTGTCTGAGTTCAGCTGGAACCGAACTGGAATTTTTTAACTTCACAAAAGCAGTTGTTAAGTGAACTCAGCATTCCAGGGTCTGTGGATCTGACAGGCAAGTACATTTGTGTGTCATCAGCATAAATATGAAAAGAAATGCCATGTTTATGGATAATATGTCCAAGGGGAAGCAGATACAAGGAAAACAAAATGGGTCCTAATACCGACCCCTGAGGCACACCATATTTAACTGGACAGAACGAAGAGCATAGTTGTTTACAGACACGCAAAACTTCCTATAACTGATAAGAGCTACTAGCGGCAAGGCCATTTTGTAAGTTATGACCACAGACCTGGCGTGAGTAATGAGTCCCTGCGCTTTCATTTTCAAATATGACCATTCACATTCCCATGTTAATATAACAAGTCTGTTTCTGTCGCAGCACAAGACTGCCTCTCTACAAATGTTTGACTACCTGGTGAACGACAATGGCCTGGTGCTGCACAAAGACCTGGACTTTATAAAGGAACAGATTGCTAGATCACCGGACGCTAATGCAGCTCAAGGCCAGAAGGTACCATCCACTTCTGCCTGTGTGAAATCATCATTGCTCCAACAGCCAATGTGGGATTTGTATAGAAAGTAACTTATAACACCTTAAGATCTTTAAGATGTTTATACCAACTTTCCTCGGACACGCACTCTCTTAACTAATCCACTGTTGTTGAAAATCTGGGGACAGTTCCAACTTGGGACCGGTTCTTGATACCCTATTTAAGATATGATGGTGCCTGACCATTAAGGGCTTTGTAGGATTTTAAATTATATTCAGGATTATACAGGGAGCCAGTGCAGAGAAGCTGGTGTGGGAAAAATGTGATCTTTTTTAGCAAAAAAACATCAAAATTGGAACAACTTTAAACTACCAACTATTTATTAATAAATAACCAGAAATAATCAAATTTTTTTATTTTATTTTTTATTTTTTAGGTCATTTTCGAATGGAGGAAAGGAGGAAAATGGAACACCTGGAGAGGTGGTGAAGAGGGGAGAAAATGAAACATAACAGGGCACATAGAAACGAACATCCACTCACACACATTCACACAATTTAGAGTCACCAATTATCCTGCATGGATTTGGACAGTGGGGGGAAGCTGGAGCACCTGGAGAGAACCCACGCAGACACGGGGAGAAACATACAAACTCCACACAGAAATGCAGACGACCAAGGTTTGAACCCTGGACCTTCTTGTTCAGAGGTGACAGTGCTAACCACTGCACCACCGTGCTGCCCTACTTTTAGGTATTGTTAGTTTTTTTAGGCCAATTTGGAATCTATATTATAATATGTTCTATGATGTAGGGGAAGCCGGAGCACCTGGAGAGAAACATACAAACTCCACACAGAAACGCAGACGACCAAGGTTTGAACCCTGGACCTGGGACGACAAAAGGTTTGAACCCTGGACCTTCTTGCTCTGAGGTGACAGTGCTAACCACTGCACCACCGTGCTGCCCTGCTTTTAGGTATTGTTAGTTTTTTTAGGCCAATTTGGAATCTATATTATAAATATGTTCTATGATGTAGGGGAAGCCGGAGCACCTGGAGAGAAACATACAAACTCCACACAGAAACGCAGACGACCAAGGTTTGAACCCTGGACCTGGGACGACCAAGATTCGAACCCTGGACCTTCTTGCTCTGAGGTGACAGTGCTAACCACTGCACCACCACACTGCCCCGCTTTCAGGTATTGTTTGTTTTTTTAGGCCAATTTAGAATCTACATGTTAAATATGTTTTATGATGTAGGGGAAGCCGGATCACCTGGAGCGAACCCACGCAGACACAGCGACAAACATACAAACTCCACACAGAAACGTAGACAAAAATCCAGCTCTACACAAAAAGAGTCAGGCCCAGGAATTGAACCAGCACCTTTTTGTGTGAGGCTGGAGTTTTATCCCTACCTTTTTTTGTTTTCAGCAAAACTTTTTATTGAGCTCCTGGACCTCTTGTCGAAGTACGTCATTTCGTCGGCCCATGGCATCTTTTTCCATTGTCAGCGATTTATTCATGACCTCCAGCATTTGTTCACTTTGTAGTCTGGCGTAGAGCTCTTTAACCTCGAGTTGTAATGTGTAGTTTTGTTGGATCAAGGCTTCATTTTCTTCTTTCATGACATTATTCCTGTCTACCAAAGCTTGTTCCTTTATAAGCCTTTTCTCCACCTCCTGAATTTCTTTTTTCAGGATGTTATTTTGCTGAGTTAGACTCTTTTTCTGTACTTTCAATTCTTTATACATTTCCTTTATGACGGTTTTGTTTTCCATCTCCTCAATGCACTTTTTGATTTCTCGATGGAGTTTATCGTTTTGTTGTCTTAAGGCTCCTGTCTCCTCTCTCAGTAGATCAAACTTGTCTTCATAGTCTGGCATGCTATCACGCTTTGAGTTGAGCGAACGAAGTTCTTTAAGAAGCTCATTTTTTTTTGCAGAAACAGCTTTTTTTTCTGATTTCAGGGCTTTATACTTGTCCTTCATGGCTTTTCTGTTCTGGATCCTTCTGGTAAAGGTCTGAATGAGTAGTTGGAGGTCTTCATTTTCTTTGCGCATTAAGTCCACGATGTGCAACCTCTCATTATACCTGAATCTGGACATCTTTTCATCTTCATAATCTTTGGAGATCTTCTGCCATTGTTCTTTCAGTGCAGCGTTCTGCTGGCTGATGGCCACTTTTGACACTTCCATTTGATCAACAATTTCCTGCTGAGCCTTTTCATTACGGAGATCTTTGGCTATCTCCTGAATCTCTTGTCTCAGGTTGTCATTTTGCTGGCTAATCGCCGCATTCTCTGCTTTCAGTTGATCATACATTTTGTCGAAAGCTGGTTCATTTTTGAGTTTTTCCCTGAGCTCCTGAATTTGTTGTTGCAGTGCCCCATTTTGCTGGCTTGCTGCTAAGTGCTCTGCTTTGATGTTCTTACACATCTCATCCCAGGCTTTGTCAGGTCGCATCTGGTTTAGCTGCTGAAGTTCTTTCCCAAAGCTTCCTTGGCTATTAAAATGGCTTCTGTTGCCACTGTCATAGCGTTGGGCACTGCATCCAATTCTTTCTGAGTTCGGCTATTTTCATGGTGCTCTGCCAGTAGATTTTTCTGATCTTGTTTCGGATACCTTTGCAGTTGGATATTAATGCCTTCAAGTTGTTGAATGACTGCTTCTAAGTCCATATCCATTTTTCTGGGCTCTGTACACGAAGCTCAGTTGTAAATGATCCAGATATTAGATTGAAGAGTTGAAGTATTAAAATGTGTTCACTCAGTGACTTTGATCTTTGGAATGCTGAAGATGTCATAAAGTACAGGCAGTGACATCACATTCCCCTCAGACTGGTGTTTATGACATCGTCAACATTATGACATCGTCAGAATTCTGACTGATAAAGTACAGGAAGTGACAGAACCTTTCACACAGCATGGTGTTTATGACATCATCAACATTATGACATCGTCAGAATTCTGACTGATAAAGTACAGGAAGTGACAGAACCTTTCACACAGCATGGTGTTTATGACATCATCAACATTATGACATCGTCAGAATTCTGACTGATAAAGTACAGGAAGTGACAGAACCTTTCACACAGCATGGTGTTTATGACATCATCAACATTATGACATCGTCAGAATTCTGACTGATAAAGTACAGGAAGTGACAGAACCTTTCACACAGCATGGTGTTTATGACATCATCAACATTATGACATCGTCAGAATTCTGACTGATAAAGTACAGGAAGTGACAGAACCTTTCACACAGCATGGTGGTTATGAAATGGTAGAAAGACAGAGGATCGTGGTGATCCTCTGAGGAAATTTGAATCTACACATTTTTATACACAGAACATGTCCTCCTCTTGTCTACGTTTTCTTACATAAGAAGCAATCAATCACTCCCAAAATTTGGAGGCAATACTATTATCCAACTGCTGGAACACAAACCTCCTCACACATTAACCCTTTTTGATCTGCCCTGTCCAAACCTGGGCAAACCTCCCAGAGAAGTTGATGACACACATCCTAGCAACTTTTCACAACATACCTCAACACAGAATGAATCATCAAACATCCATCAATGGTCAATACCTAGGATGTATCTACAGACTGAAATGCTTATGATTTAAAGTACAAGCTGATTTTATGATACAAATAATTAAACATGCAAACTACAACTTCTTTCTCCCTGTACATCAGTTCACAGTTTATTTTTACCTGTATATGTGCTTTTATGTGTTAGTTTCAAGCTGGCAGTGAAAGCACCGATGTCTGGGTTGTTCACGGTCGACTAAATAATACATGTGGTCCTCTTATTTGTCCAAATTTCACTTCTCTTTTACTTCAAACAAACCAGAAGACTACTACTACTTTACTTCGTACATATTCAACGTAGTGACGAAACACGCTCTGTAGAGCAGTTTGTCCTTTTGGGCTACTGTAGAAACATGGCGGCGTCCATGTAAGGGGACCTGCAATGTATCTAGATAGAAATGGCTCATTCTAAGGTAAAAAAACATACTGGTTCATTATGTAAGGTCTTTATACACCACTGAAAACATAGGTATGGATATTATAGTGCATTTCTGTCAGTAGATCCTCAGAATTATTACCTTTATTATTAAAGGTTCAGTCTGTAATATTTAGAACAAGAAAATCAGGGACACATCAGACACTGAAAGCAGTGTGGCAAACCATATGATGCTTCTGTAGATTAATACTCAAATGGCACAAAATTTTGCGGCATAATGAGTCTGATCTGGAAACTCCCATGTGTTTATGGTCATTATGTGATTACAAGTCTGTTTTCTGTTGCAAACGTTTCCTTCTTCCACATGGAGGCATGACAGAAAAAGTTTGAGAGCCACTAATTTGCACAGACGTCTAATCTATTAGACATCTATTATGCCTCACATCTAAAACAGCCGGTCGCTTGATTTTTTCCACAAGGCTAACAGAATAAGGAGAACTCTTACTTTGTGTTGAATTGTTCAACAGGAATCTCTCTGGACTGGTCACACTTCAGGGACAGACAGCTGGATACCGGAGACTCCGCTCTGTCCTCCTCGTCCTTCCCCACAAACACTCATCTCTGCCTAGCTGTGGTGCACAGTTGGGGTAAAGAGGGTTACTACCAACTAAAGTGACTGCTCACATCCCTAAAACTAGTTTTATGCCTAGAAGGAGGAGTAATTCACTAACACTATGATAAAAAAAGAGCTTGTATTGTTTGCATTCACCCACAACAGGGTTTTTTTCCCCAAAAGGGGGCATGGCAGAAAATGTTAGGGAGAAACTAATATCTGCACACTCTAATATCAAGATGTTCTGACAGAGCACGGTCGGGAAACTCTTACTTTATGTCAAATTGTCCAGGTTCATAGCTGAAGACAAGAGGAATCTCTCTGGACTGGTCACACTTCAGGGACAGACAGCTGGATACCGGAGACTCTGCTCTGTCCTCCTCGTCCTTCCCACAAACACTCATCTTTCATCCAGCAGCACAGTCAGTGACACAAGCTGGTATATATGTTGATACTGGTAGGCCTTACAAACAGATATCTTTCTAGTCAGTATTTTCATGAGCTTTTATTTGAAAATAAATATTAAATGAATAGCATACAGATAGCCTAAAGATCGGAGTGTTTATTCCCATTATTATTATCATTGGCGTGTTAGTTTAAATATGGTGTTTTGTACATTCAACAACAAATGAATGCCGCTGAAACATGAGATTTGTGACACTGTATATGCTAAAACCTTACACCCGCACTAATGGAGCTCAGGATTGAACTGGAGGCCGGCTGCTTTACTGCTGCTTTACAAACTGTTTTGAACTGGACTGTGTGCCAGACCTTTTGGATGTGTAGAGGAACTCAAAATATTAATTGATCCTTTGTCGGGAGACCCTTCACCCTATTTCACCCGCCCCGAAATTTGTCCAAAATTCTGCCCACAAGTAGTGGTGCACGCACAAGGTTTTCATGTGCTTCATGTGTTTCCCCAAGAGTGGCCACTGAGCTTGGAACAATTTTTCAAGTTTAAATGAGGGTAGCGATGGGCAGCTGCAGCCGCATGGCCTTCATTTAAGTTGATCGTGCTATCAATGGTTTTTATTTGAATGATTTTATACATACATGTAATTACGGAGGTCCGGACCTCGGTGACCTCATACGACCATGCTTGTAACCACTCTGTGCTGAAGGAAAGTGTGTAAGTGCGTGCCAACAGTCGTGTCATAAGCGCATTTCAGTGCAGCACCCCTAAGCGAAAATATCTTCATGCGCGCCTGCAAGCTCACGACAGACAGTTGAACTTTAACCTTTTCAGCCAATGTGGTAATGACAGTTACTTTATAGGATACTTTTCTAAATGGATTTTAGCTGTCGTTTTTTATGCGCATTTTGAAATAGACTTTCTCATTAGAAAAGGTTGATGGAAACGGCAGCTTTCCCAAACAAAAGTTTTTAAGCTCGCTTGAGGTGTTTTTTGCCTTTGTCGAAAAAGAGTAAATGCGCTAAATGGGAGGTGTAAACACTTTTGCCGAATAAGTTCTGAATTCACGTCTGATCAGCTGTCTCCGCCGGATATTCCCATTACGCGCGGAGACGTGGTTGGTGTCAGCGTGCCCGCTTGAAACGCATTCCTGAAGATCTCCCTCAATTTTTCTCACATCCATGGTCCTCAGGTCTATGCAGCTGGTTTTGTTTCTGGTATGGAACGCATATGTCTTGTTTATTACAGCCATGTGTAACGTCAACTACTGACGTAACTACGCTTGTCATAGCCTGGTTTATTCGCTCCAAACCGGCTGATATAAACGCACCTAATTTGCAGTTATGTCTTCTATTTTTGCGACATTTCAAAAGTCAGCTTGAAATTCGCATGACATCGGATGGAAACTCAGGTCAAAAAGAAGGAACTGAAAATATACTAGAAATTCACATAGTATGCTTATAGTACATTCATACTCCTAACATGCTTACTACAAGTATATTAAAGATATATTCTCCTGAGCTTTAACATACTTCTCAAAAGTATACTTTCAATAGATAGAATATAGAATAATATATACTTAATTAAACTTTTAATAAATATGCTTAAATAAAAGTATATTTTTCATTTTAGTCTATTTATTAAAAAACACGCAACTTTGACAGCAACGTATGGCAGTCCAAGCACTTACTCAACTGTAGTGGAGGTACTCCGTCACCCTCATACAGTACAAATGGTGAAAGCAAACTGAAACAGAAAAATGGTACAATCCTTATCCTTGGAGTGGAGGGTCGGTTATCTTTGAGTAGGACTCGTTGCATTTTCTGTGACTGACAGACACTATGGGATTTGGAAACTGCTTTATCACACAGCATCTGTGGAAGGGAAAAGGAAATATTTTGTCTATATCAAAGCAATATTACCTCTAATTAATTAATAACCATTGTCTGATTTTTTATATTGTTTAAAGTTGCTGAAACACAATATGACATCATGTCTAACTGTTATAATGCAAACCGTTCAGGTTCAGGTGAAATGGTTTTCCACAGGGGACCCTTCCCAGTTAATGCTCAGTTCTTCCATTACAACATGATCAAAAACATTACATAAACACTACCGTACATTCAGCCAAGGAGCTGTAGATGATAAAATGTTATTAAACAGGTACAACAAATAACACAAACATTCAGATTTGCTTAACAACTGTTCTGTCTACATGTCATTTCACATTAACACAGCAGTCAATTTGTGAAGTACAAAAGTAGCCAATAACTTAATGTATAACAATATTTAAATAAAATTATTTTTTCACAAGAATATTTGTTTATTTAGTCTGACCCTGTTGACATGTAGTGAGAGGAAAAACAGTGATGGTGTGCAGGAGCCAGACATACCTATGAGCACATTGAGCTTGTGAGGGTCCAGCTGGTCCTTTGAGGTTTTCGTGGCCTCTAATGGTGCATTCAGACCTACCGCGAATTTTCGC